AGTTCCACAGTTTCGAAAGGTTTCTCCACATCTTCAGAACGTTTTGTGGACAGTTTGAATGGAAAGCTCTTCCCAAATCTTTGGAGCGTTTTGTGGACAGTTTGAAAGGGAAACTCTTCTTAAATTTCTGGAACTTTTCAAGACTGATAGTTAAAAAAAACTCTCCCAAATCTTTAAAACATTTTGGGGCTAACAGTTTGGAAACGAAACTCTCTCAACATCTTTAGGACGTTTTCAGTTCTAAAAAATTATAAAGATGTTACGAGAGTTTTCCTTTCAAAATATTACCCCCAAAATGTTCTAAAAATGTGAGGAAAGTTTGCTTTCAAAATTGTCACTCCGACAACATTTTAAATATTTGGGGAAAGTTTTCTTACTAATACTTAGCCCTAAGACGTTTTAAATACTAGATGAGAGTTTTCCTTTTAAACCTTTAGTCCATAAACGTTCTTAAGACATGGGGAGAGTTTCTCTTCCAGACTGTTGGGTCCTTAGCCTCCTAGAAATAGGCCTAATACCTTTCTATAAATCTTAGGAATAGGCCTAATACCTTTCTATAAATCTTAGGAATAGGCCTAATACCTTTCTGTAAATCTTAGGAATAGGCCTAATACCTTTCTATAAATCTTAGGAATAGGCCTAATACCTTTCTATAAATCTTAGGAATAGGCCTAATACCTTTCTGTAAATCTTAGGAATAGGCCTAATACCTTTCTATAAATCTTAGGAATAGGCCTAATACCTTTCTATAAATCTTAGAAATAGGCCTAATACCTTTCTATAAATCTTAGGAATAGGCCTAATACCTTTCTGTAAATCTTAGGAATAGGCCTAATACCTTTCTATAAATCTTAGGAATAGGCCTAATACCTTTCTATAAATCTTAGGAATAGGCCTAATACCTTTCTGTAAATCTTAGGAATAGGCCTAATGCCTTTCTGTAAATCCTAGGAATAAGCCTAATACCTTTCTATAAATCTTTCGAAACGATCATGATGAGTCAAACCTATATTGTTATAACAATACTGTGATTAAGAAAAGAGAAATACAACGTAAATATGACGTCAAGGCTGTGGACTGAACACTCTCACACATTCCAAATATCTGCAGTAATATTATTACTAAGTCACTCCAAAAGAAGATTAAATAATTATACAGCTAGCGTGATGTGCGAAGAGTGATGTTTTTGTCCTCGTTAAACAATCTGAACTATATCTCTCCTCTAGTAAAACGGTTGATTGGAAGGGAATAATTACAGATATAATTCTTGTGGCTTGGAATTGGGGACGTTGCCTAGCTATCTGAGCTCCACGCTGACAAACGTGTTGCAGGGAACTCTATAATTGGAAGGAGGAGAGTTTGTGCTTTGGCAGGTGCTTAGCTCCTTTAGCGTGTAACCTTCTGGTCACCTTTATCGAATCTATTTTTTGTTCGTATAATTTGTGAATATACGTTTTTATTAAGTGAAGCTGTGAATTAATACTCTTAATAAGTTCATATCAAGGGCTTTATTTTCAAAATATACCGATAATTCTGCGTTTAATTAATAATTGAAACTAACCAAACTGTTCCTAATTTTGAACCGACTAAAGGGAAGGAAGCACCGACTGTCAACTCTTGTCTGACTGGATAGTGATATTTTACTGTCACTCTCATCTCTTGTCTGACTGGATAGTGATATTTTACTGTCACTCTCATCTCTTGTCTGATCGGACAGACAGTAAAATATCACTATCCAGTCAGACAAGAGATGAGAGTGACAGTAAAATATCACACTCTCATCTCTTGTCTGACTGGATAGTGATATTTTACTGTCACTCTCATCTCTTGTCTGACTGGATAGTGATATTTTACTGTCACTCTCATCTCTTGTCTGACTGGATAGTGATATTTTACTGTCACCC